TTCCTTTGTCTGCTGCCGTGTTGCCTCTCGTCCTTCCAGACCCGCCACTCCCCCCGCCGACACCGCTGCCACTGCCCGCCATAGTGTTGTGGAAGTAGAGGATGCAATGACCAACAGCTAGAGAAAAAAGAAAGTAAAAATATCGGAAGAAGAAGAAGAAGAAGAACAAGAACAAGAACAAGAACAAGAATTAGAAGAATTCGAATTAGAAGAAGAAGAAGAAGAATTAGAAGAAGAAGAAGAAGAATTAGAATTAGAATTAGAAGAAGAAGAATTAGAAGAAGAAGAAAAAGAAGAAGAAGAAGAAGTAAGAAGAAGAAGAAGAAGAAAAAGAAGAGTCTGTGCGGTTGTGAATGGAGCTGCTGTGTGCGCGCTTGCACCCTTTTTTTCGGGCAGGGAAAAAAAAAACGAACGGGAGATAGCGGGCAGTAGGATATGGCGGGTGGTACAATATCGCTGGTGGATGTGCGAGATGGTGGGTGGTAAGATATGGAGGAGGAGGAGGACGAGGAGGGAAGAAGAAGATGAAAGGAGGAGGACGGGGAGGGAAGAAGACGAAAGGAAGAGGAGGAAGACGGAGAGGAGGAAGAAAAAAGGAGGAAGAAGAAGAAAGGAGGAGGAGGAGGAGGAGGAGGAGGAGGAGGAGGAGGTGACGACAAAGAAGAAGAAGACGAGAGGAGGGGGAGGAGGGGGGGAGGAAGGAGGAGAGGAAAGGACGAGAAAAAAGATGGAGACTTGAAAAACGAAACAGACGAAAGGAGGAGGAGAGAAGGACAAGATGAAAGGAGGTGGAGGAGGAGAGAAGAAGAAGAAGACGAGAGGAGGAGGAGGAGCAGGAGGAGGAGGGGCTGCTGGTAGTGTATGGGGATGACTGGAAAAACGAAGAGGACGATATAGGAGGAGGAGGAGGAGAGAAGGAGACGAACGTAGGTGGAGGAGGAGAGGAGAAGAAGAAGACGAGAGGAGGAGAAAGAGGAGAGAAGGTGGTGGAGGACGAAGAGAGGAGAAGAAGAGGACGAGAGGAGGAGGAGGAAGAGAGAAGGTGTGGCATACTCAGTTTCAGACGGGCCCAGCAGAGCCTGACCAGGTAACCCAGGGGTCCATAGAGTGTAGGGTCTGTGTCGTTTCGACCCACAGTAGGGGCCCGTAGGGTCGGCCGGTACCAGTTAAGACGCCCTGTAGGCCTCGTTTCGGCTACAGGCCCTGGCGCGTGTTTTGGCACCAGACCCTGATTCAGAGGCCGTGCTGTTTCAGTAGGCGCTTGAGGCTCAGCCTCAGTTTGAGCTCCAGACTCAGCCGCTGAGGCGGACCCAGCGCTATATATATCTGGGTCCAGCCCCAGTTCGATATTGAGGTTCTCTTCCGATGACAGCAGTGTAGCAGTAGTCTTCCAGCGCTGGGCGCTGATAGGACTTAGGGTAGCACAGGGGAGGAGAGAGACTGTGGCGGAGGCCAGGGGACTTACCTGGGACTTACCTGCAACGCCATCGCTCCAGCTTCGTCTCTAGCACATCCATACCTGCATCAAGGCGCCACCTTTCGCAGGTCAGTACCTGGTACACACACACACACACACACACACACA